AGAATTGAGGCGGTTGGGGTTTTGGGACCTAATTTAATGGCCATATATTTTTTAGCTTTGACTGATTTGAAATTCGTGTTCGGCACGGTACGGTATACCGCGGTATTTTTCCCGGTATACCGCGGTATTTTTTTCCGGTATACCGATACCGATACCGTACCGGTTAAATTTTGAAAAAAACGGTATTTTTCGGTATCGGTATTTTTTCGGTATACCGATACCGATACCGTACCGGTCCTCGAAAAAATACCGCGGTATTTTCCGGTATTTCGGTATTTGTGAAATTCTCAAAATTTTCGCCTGCGGCGCTGAAAAAGGCAGAACTCTGTCTTCTGGTCTTCCAAAATTCTCAAAATTTTCGCCTGCGGCGCTGAAAAAGGCAGAACTCTGTCTTCTGGTCTTCCAAAATTCTCAAAATTTTCGCCTGCGGCGCTGAAAAAGGATATATAGGGACATTCTATTAGAGGGGCATTGTATTTTTCAATTATCCTTCTGGGGCATTCTATTAAAGGAGGGTATTCTAATGGTGGGGGCGTAGTAATTTTCAATCATCCTCCAGGGGACATACTATTAAAGCAGGGTATTCTAATGGAGGGGGCATTGTATTTTTCAAATAGCTAAATGTCGAGCAATTGTTGGACATTTTGCTGATTCAAATCTTGCCTATGATCGATTAGAAGAAGCTCAAGTCCTTGAGATTGTTAAGATTTATTGTTGAAATTTTAAAAATAAAATTTAAAAAATTTTATAAAATTTTTTAAAAAATACCGAATACCGGCCGGTATACCGAAAATGTTGAGACGGTATTTTCCGGTATCGGTATTTTTCCGGTATACCGATACCGATACCGTACCGGTCAATTTTTGTATAAAACGGTATTTTTCGGTATCGGTATTTTTTCGGTATACCGATACCGAATACCGGAAAAGGTCATTTGCCGAACACTATTTGAAATTCTATTCCCGGACCTGCACACCCGTACATCACTGCCAATTTCACTTCTGGGGAATTGATCTATGGGCCGAGCCGGTTTTTTGCGCGGAAACCGCAAAAAACCGGCTTTTGAAAATTTATCACAAGTATGCGAGGGCAAAGCGACATAAGAGGAGGGAATGGACGCGCGAGATTTCGGAGAGGAGAAAAATTTGAAAAAATGAAATGTCTAATTAAATTATTTTTGATTTAGAAATGTTTATATTTACTCCAAATTGGATGGGTTATCACAAGATTTTTTGTTAAAAAATATTTACAACTTTGGGTAAAAATTTTTTGGTTGTTAATTTGATAAATTATTTGGTTAAATGGATGTAAAATTAGGCGTTTCTATCAGTAGGGTGAAATATTTTATAAGAATTGGGGGAATAAATGACACATAAAATTTTAAATTATTTTGATTGATGGAATTGGATTGGCCACATATAGAAAAATTTGGCCACTTTTTTTTGTAATAGTTTGTTCCACTAATTTGGCGAATTTTGTTGTTTAATAGTTTTGGGTAATTTTTAATTAATTGGGTGGAAAAATTGTGTTTTAGTGGTTTTTAATAAAATTTATTTAAATAAAAAATTGTGAAATAAAAATGTGAGGAAAAAGGGGATGGAGAACCGGCCAAAGGTTCTCGAACCCAAAAACTCAAGGTCAAATTTTGAAAAAAACGGTATTTTTCGGTATCGGTATTTTTTCGGTATACCGATACCGTACCGGTCCTCGAAAAAATACCGCGGTATTTTCCGGTATTTCGGTATTTGTGAAATCCGCAAAATTTTCGCCTGCGGCGCTGAAAAAGGAAGAAATCTGTCTTCTGGTCTTCCAAAATTCTCAAAATTTTCGCCTGCGGCGCTGAAAAAGGATACCGTATTTTTCCTAATAGTGCGACTGTCTCTATTAGACCGACCTTTTCTATTAAACCGACCCCCTAGAGGAGTATTGAAATATAAACCGACTGTCTCTATTAGACCGACCCTTTCTAATAAACCGCCCTCTAGAGGATGATTGAAAAATAAACCGACCGGTCGCACTATTAGGAAAAATACGGTATATAGTAGTGATGGTCGGGATTCCCGGTCTCGGTTCCCGAGTCGGGAAATTTCCCGGGTTTTTTGAGCTCTCGGTCTCGGTCTCGGTCTCGGTGTTTTAGTCTCGGAAAACGAGACTAAATTTACACCCCTAATGACGGAAATTTTTTGAATTTTACTCGTACCTCGCGTACTTTGACATTAAATTTTTTAAGGAAAAGTGAAAGAAATATTAATATTTTCTCCAGTTTTCTTTTGTTGTTCTTTGGTTGAGTGGTTAGTGTACTGACTTCAATAACTTAGATATTTTTTAAGTCTGGGTTCGAATCCAGGGGCAGAATCGAGGATGAAAAATTTTTCTTTCCAAAAATAAATGTCTTTTAACTTTGATTTTGATTTAAAATTTATTTTTTTTAATATTTTAAACTTGAAAAGACATTAACAATTTTAATTTTATCATAAATTTTCCAAAATTTTCGTATGAGGCGCCTAAATCCTCACTTGCGGCGCAGAAAATGGGAGAAATCTGGCTTCACGAGCTCCAAAATTCACAAAATTTTCGCCTGCGGCGCAGAAAATGAATGAAATTGGAGGATTTATGGCTTAAAACCTTAAAAAATACAAGAATTCAAGGAATTTGGGAGATTTTGAAGGATATATAGTGGTATAGTATTTTGAAGAATATATAGGGGTATATCAAGTGATATCCCTCCTAATCTCTTGGTCTCGACTCTCGGTCTCGACTCTCGGTCTCGACCCGGGACTCGGTCTCGGGGTTGATTCCCGGTCTCGGTCTCGGTTCCCGACTCTCGGCTTTTTTTAACTCCCGACCATCACTAGTATATAGGGACATTCTATTAGAGGGGGCATTGTATTTTTCAATTAGCTAAATGTCGAGCAATTGTTGGACATTTTGCTGATTCAAATCTTGCCTATGATCGCTTAGAAGAAGCTCAAGTCCTTGAGATTGTTAAGATTTATTGTTAAAATTTTAAAAATAAAATTTAAAAAATTTTATAAAATTTTTTAAAAAATACCGAATACCGGCCGGTATACCGAAAATGTTGAGACGGTATTTTCCGGTATCGGTATTTTTCCGGTATACCGATACCGATACCGTACCGGTCAATTTTTGTAAAAAACGGTATTTTTCGGTATCGGTATTTTTTCGGTATACCGATACCGAATACCGGAAAAGGTCATTTGCCGAACACTAGTTTTAATCTGCAACTTTTTCCAAATTTTTTTATCAGATCGGTTTCTCTTTTTCTATTATTTTTTCAAGAGTTTTTTAAAAGCTTTTAATTTTTGTTGTTTTCTTTCCATTTTATGAGTCCATAAAAAGAAACATTAAAGAAGGCAGATCCACAAAGAGTACAGTTTTCTCTTTACATTTTGTACATAAGTCTACAAAAAATTATACCCGGTCTCTCTAAACTTAATATATTTTCAGGGTTTCCAAAAAATAAAGTCTAAAAATTAAAATAAAATTAAAAATTTAAAACAAGAAATTCAACAATTAAAAACTGGAAATGATCTGGAAATTGACGAGAGAGTTCCTTGAGTTGCAAAGTAATTATGCTGATTTATTTAACTTAACCGCTATGAGAAATCCAAGAACTTTGTGTGTTCTTTTAGATTGAAGAGGAAATGAAGAGTTGAGAGATACTGCCGATCTTCAATTAAATCAGTTAATTTTTACTTAAAATTAAAAAAAGTCGATTAAATGTCGATTAAAAATGAAGGAGACACAAATACAAACTTTGAATTTGATAATACAAGGAAAGGTTAAGAAAATTTTTAATTAAAGGATTTATTGGAAGCATTCAAAATTTTGGGATTATCTAAGAATAAGGACTGCTCTCAAAAATAACTTTGAATCCCCTAAATTAGGAAGGGGAGGTGTTGAACATATTCATGGGGAGGTGTGTGCTAAAGAACTTCAAGTTTCCTAGCATAAAAAGTTGTTAAAGTTACCTAATTTTAAATCTTCGAATTCATTTCGAAAGAATCAAGCATTCTTTCCCAGCTATTTTTTTTAACAAAAAACCCTTAACACACAATTTTTTAAATACCTAATTCACATTCCGTTCTTTTACTTAAAAACCTCTAATAATATAAAATTATTAGGATAACCAAATTGATAAATTAAAAAACTGGTTGAAGAACTTATAGAAAATAAGGGAATTTCTGGAGATGGGGATGACCCTGAAGATTGTAGAAGTATGCTTTCTACTTCTGATTATCGATGGAAACTAAATTAATCAAATGATTTTTTCTATATTTTACTTAAAGACTTTCATTTTATTTTGTTTATGAAGATTAAAAATCGAAATTTATACATGAAAAACGTGTAATAACAAATTTACTGTTTAAATTTCTGCTTTGTTTCGAGGTGTCGGAAATCGGAATTCCGACCCACTTTTGTTTAATCAAAAATAAAAGAAAGAATAAAAGTAAAAACAATCTTGAAACTCCTTCCAAAAGTTCGCTACCACAATCAATCGTTCGGGAATGGGAGAGAACTTCACCCAGGAATGGGTCGATTACCCGAAACCCGGTCTTTTTTCGACACGGAACTTGCTCGATGCTTTTTCCGTGGAACTTTTCACATAAACAGAGGAAATATGGTTCATTGACCTTCCAAAGTTTTTAAAATTTTCGGCTGTTGTAAGGAAGAAATTTGCCTTCTTGGCCCGCCAACTTTCTCAAAATTTTCACTTCTGCTGGATTTGAAAGATTAATATAAGAGTACTGGATTTAATTTGCTGCTAACTTAAAATTAACTTAAATTGAAGTTCATTTAGTGTCAGTAACTATACATTTCGAAAATTAAATTCCAACATTACATACTTCTGACCCTTTAAACCCAAATTTACTATAAAAGCCTGTTGATTGTTCCATTTTTCCTTCCAAACGCGACAAATCTTCAATCACTTCAACTCTACGTCAACACATCCAAGCCAACAACAAAAACAGCGCTTCATGCTCTTCTGCCTCCTTCATCCAATGGACCACAACACCGGACCTTTGGCAAGGAAGTCGTCGACGCTTTGTGCTCTGCTGCCGGTATCCATCGCTGCGCTCCTAGTGCTTCCAGTTACTGTACAGGCCAACGCTAACGAAGTCGGAGTCGCCAATCACACCTTGTCGGATAACGAGGTGACGGTCAAGCCTGGAAGTATGCAGCTCAAAACGAGTCTTGAATATGACGAATACAAGAAGCATTTTCCGAGTGTCTGTGATTTTAAAATCACTCCCGACAACATGTAAGTTGATTTTCCTTAAAAGTTGAGGGAATGTGCAAAAATTAAATTTTTCAGTGAACTTCGATACAAAGGCGACGTTGGGTGCACTGTGGAACTGCTTACCACCAAAACGAACATGATCAAATTCACGACCGGAATAGATTTGACGAAAAGCAGCTGTAAAGTGGATGACTGCAAGGGTAAACGTGCAAATTTCGAGGATGGATTTTCAAATCTGTAAGTTTTATTAAATGCCGATTAGGAAATATTATTAAAGAAATATCTTTAAGCATGCCCTTTGCCTACAGCAGAAACAATAAGGATCTCAAAAATCTCAATGATGGTCAGGCCTATGAGGGGAATGAGTGTGATAAGAAATTCAAGTGCGGCCATAAGTGCATGAATCAGACGTTTCTCGAAGTTTCGTGGTTTAAATGTGATGACGAAATACACGCTCACACCCATCTAAGTAAGAGGATGATTAGTTAAATTTTAAATATATATTCATTTTAGTTGGTGAATTTGAGTCGGGTCTGGATCTAAAAAAGGATGACAATAAGAAGGAATATAAATTCGATCTGGAGATATTTGACAATAGCAGCTTCAGAATGGATTTTGAGACAGGAAAAGAACTTCTTTACGATACGAAAATAAGTAGCATTTTTTGCGTTAAAAAAGAAGGAGCAATTGTCGAACCAAAAACATGGAAAATCAAAAATGGAGAGGGAAACCTGAAGGATAAACATCTGCTGGTTTTTCATCTACTTCCGTCAAATGCTACACGGTTGCCCAAAGGGAGTGGGTTTGAACCTGGAACTAAACCAAAATGTCCTCTCTTCATCCGCTTTGTAATAACAAAATTTGTAAAATTCCAACTAATTTTTTATCTTTTAGAGCAAGCCAGACTATGAATTTCTTTATGTTCCACCACCAACAACATCTACAGTTACAACAACGACTAAAACAACAGCAGCAGGTACACAGCAAGGAAATACTACACCACCAACAGCTAAAGTACAGGAAGAAAAGGACACCGAAGAAGGAAGTAAAGTTTGGATTGTGGTAATTGTGATTATTGTTGTGGTGGTGGTTGTAATTGGAGTTGGATTAGCTGTCTGGTATTACATGGCAAAAAAACAAAGGGAGCTTGAGAAACAACTGGAAAAGAAAGGAAAATCGGTAAACTAAATTATTTTAAAAATACTGAAAAAAAAAATTTTTAGTCAGTCGAAGATCGCTCTGAGAAGTCTGTGGATAAGAATAAAAACTAGAAGTTGAGAAGATATTTGGGGATAGAGAATAATTTGTGTGTAAATAATTTGTAAATCATCCATTCTCTATTTAATTGTTCTCCCAATATTCTCTCCAAATCTCAACTATAATTCCCTATATCCCCTATATATCTAAACATAATTCCTATATTCCCTATAACCTATATCTATCTATATATTCACTATAAGGCTATATGCCTCTCTATATGTGTATACTTTCTACAGATACACAAATTTCCTTATATATCTATATATTATTTTTGCAGGTTGATTGTGTATTCCCTGCTATTTCTTGTTATATATTGTGTTGTAGAATATGTATTTTTGTGTATAATCTTGTAATTGTATGTATATTGTATTGTGGGATAAATATGTTTTGGCCCAAAAAATTCTTCAAAAATTTTAAGTAAAAATAATGAAATTAATTTCGAAAATTTAGAGAATATTTTGGTACCAAAAATTTGCTTAGAATGTTGGGAATAAAATTAAAAAAAGAATTAGCAATTTTCATCGATCTTTAAGAGAATTATGGCAAAAATAAAAGTGCCGGAAAGTTTGCCGCACACTGTATTTTGAAACCGTTTGAAGTTTAAATTTGAAATATTCCCTCAACAAATAAATTTTTTCCTCAACATTCAAAACAGTTTCTCTGGGCAAAAACCCTTCAATATATAAATATTCAAATTTTTTTTAAATTAAATTCAATTTCTATTTTAACTCCATATAATTTAAATTTTTGTTTAAGAAAAAATTAATTTATTTTTGTAAACTTAACTTTTAATTTGCCAAAATTTTATAAAACTTTTTAAAAAATAAAGCAGATTATCGTTTTTGTCTTTTCAATTCCTATTTTAAACTCCCTTGTTTTTTAAATTAAATTAAAATTCAAGAAAATTCATTCAAAATTTTGGATTATATTTAAATAAAAAAATTTAATTAATCAAGTAATTCTCTACAAAATGAACGAAGAAAGATTATCAAATATTAAAAAACAAAACAATAATTTAATTAAACTTCAACCCAATTTTAACAATCTTCAAAAATTTTTTGTTGTAGAGAAGGAAAATAATTTTTTTCTTGAAAATGAATTGAAAGAAAGGGATAAAGTTGGGATATTTTTTGATTAAATTTTGAAAATAATTTTAGAAAATTGAAGAAATGAGGCAAAATTTTCAAAAATTACTAGCGGAGAAAGATGCAGCTGATAAAAAGAATAATAAGTTGAAAGTTAAATTAAAGAATATGTATTGTAAATATGTGGTTAGTTAATAATTAAAATTTTAGTACGTGGGTGTCGAGTTTAATATACAAATGTTATACTATTTGAAAGAGCTAGTCGAGCTGAGTCGAATGCCACCAAAATTAGCCCGAGGAAAAATTTTTGGACCGAGATATAGGTGCCTGAAATTTGAAAACCCATAGGGGGGAGTAATATCTGTATATTAAACTCGGCACCCATGACTAAGTTTATCATTAAATTTAGAACCTCCTTAACTTCTATACAAAATTTTTTTCATTTACGAGACCTGATGTATTTTGTAGAAAATTCTAGTCTTTCGAACTAGCTATTCATAAGGGAGCGAAAATAATGTTTACGCCTAATTTTTGCGTTGATTTTCAGGGTATTAAGATCTTTAATTTTTCTGAGTTAAGATTTTTGGGTGAAAAATTATTTTTAATTATTAAAAAAATTATTATTATTAAAAAATTATTAAAATTACAAAGTCTTGGAACCAAGACTCTATCATTTTGTTTATAATTGTATTTTAAACTTGTTAAAATGTTTTTAGAATTTTTTAAATTTTTTTAGAATTTAAAAAAGATTTCATACAAATTTGGTTCTTGTATTGTTTGTCAATCTCAATTGGATCATGAAAATGTTTATATGTTAAAAAATTGTAATCATACATACCATGAATATTGTATTACTCGTTGGATTACCGAAGGAGTGAGGAAATTTATTTTTTTAATTTTATACAGGCTAAATAACATGTATTGGGTTTTTATAATTTTCGAATAATTTTCTTGATATTTCCCCTATTTTTGTAAATCCACAAAAATTTAAAATATACTAAGGGATACTATCTAAGTTTAGACTATCTACTAAAATAAGTACATATATAAAATTGTGAGGTAGGTAGTAGAGATGTGCGAGACTCTTGGTCTTGGTCTTGGAACCAAGACTTTTCTTGGTTTTTTTTCGGTCTTGGTCTTGGTCTTGGGGTGTTTGTCTTGGTCTTGTCTTGGTTTTATTTTTTGGTCTTGATTTTTTGGCCTCTTTGGATCTACTGATTGGCCTTCCAAAATCCTCAAAATTTTCGCCTGCGGCGCTGAAAAAGTGAATTTTTTTGGCCTATCGCCTTCTAAAATTCATAAAATTTTCGCCTGCGGCGCAGGAAAAGGAAGATTTTTGGCTTCTTGGCCTTAATAATTCCCAAAATTTTCGCCTGCGGCGCTAGAAAAGGAAGAATTCTGGCTTCTTAGCCTTCCAACATTTTCGAAATTTTCGCCTGCTAATATCCCCCTTAACTAAATAATCCACCCAAATCCTCTTAAATAATATATCTCATTGATTTTCCACCCGGATAAATTCACCAAAATTCTTTGAATTTCGGATAAATTCTTTGAATTTCGCATAGATTTTTCGAAATTATAGGTGATTGTGCTGAAGTTGACTGTGATCGTGTCAAAATAACAAAAAATAAACCAAAAATTTAACCTATGGCACCTAAAAATTGTCTCGAGTTTTGTATTATTTTTGGTCTTGAGTCTTGGAGTTTTGGTCTTGGTCTTGAGTCTTGATCTTGGAAAATTTTTTGTCTTGGGTCTTGAGTCTTGAGTCTTGGAAAAATTTCGGTCTCGCACATCTCTAGTAGGTAGTGGTTGAAATTTTGAAATTTGCACGTACTTGTACTTGCCATTTTTTCGTACTCGTACAAGTTTCCAACCACCGGTGGCAAGCTCTCCCATCTCAAATGTGTATCAGCCTTTATGGTTGATTTAATTATACCAAAAAAATCCACAAACCAAACTTAAAATGTATTTTCAACTTTTATTTTTAACATTTTTAGGCAGAAAATTGTCCCAGTTGCCGAGTTCCTGCTACTTTGGACGATATTAAACAATTTTCTGTCGAAAAAGCATGTGACAGTTCTGACGAGTTTGACGATGAATTTACTCAGAGTTCAAGTAATATGACTAAATCTGAGAATTACAATTTGAATTGTGTGGGTAGTTTATAATTAAATAAAATTATTGGTACTATGCCTTGATATCCCTCCATTTGAGCGTCTATAAACTTTTAAACTTTGATCAATCCGAATAAATCATATCATTCGAAATCCCTCGATAGGTCTTTTTTTAACGTCTTTTAACTTTTTAACGGGCGATCAGACTTGATCCATCCAGTTGAAAAAAGATAGAGCTTATCGAGAGCTTTCGGATGATATAAGATTTAGGAAGCATAAAAAGTTCGGAAATGGAAAAAGAAAAGGATAATGCATATTACCAATAATTTTGTTTAATATATTTAGTACCAAATTATAAAAATTAATTTTTAAAGAATTTTGTTAAAATTACAAATAAATGGAGTGAGATTAATAGTGGGCATAGTAAATGTTGTGAAAATGAATGTATAGATACAGACAACCCTTTTGGTAATTGTATTGAAGGAAATGGATTTGTTAATATAATTGATGATGAAAATATTAAATATATTAATTGTTTGGAATGGATAGGTAGTAAATTATTGAGGTTTTGAAATTTTTTGTAAAAATTTTAAGGTTACGATCATTATGTCCGCGTTCATGCAGAAAATTCATTTAAAAACCCACAAAGCTTCCTTAATTATTCTTTATATTATTTTGAAGTTAAATGTATATTTGAAAAAGATAAGTATGCAGTAGCGATGTATATTGGCCTTAAAAATTGTGATACAAATAAAAATATAATGCTTAATCCAAAGTATGCTATAATTGAAAACAAGAAGAATAACCCATCTAGTGTTTCGACTTCTTTCGATAATAATGATATTTTTGGTTGTGGATTAGTTTATCCTCCAACTAATATGCCGAAGAAATTCCCTTATATTTTCTTTACACAAAATGGAGAACAAATTGGTAATTAATTAAAATATTAATGGTACTTTTTCGTTAATTGACCGAAAACTGAGTATTAGCCGAATTTAAACAGCTATAACTTTTTGAAGCTTGATCCAATACAGTTGAATTTTATATCATTCGAGCGTTTCCGATAAGCTCTATCTTTTACCCAACTGTATGGATCAAGTCTGATCACTTAAAAAAGTTACAAGTCGATAAGCGCAAGAAATCGGTTTTTCACTATTATCGGGTTATAACTTTTTTATGAGTGATCCGACCTGATCCATACAGTTGGGTAAAAGATAGAGCTTATCGGATAAAATTCAACTCTATTGGATCAAGCTTCCAAAAGTTATAGCTGTTTAAATTCGGCTAATACTCAGTTTGCGGTCAATTAACGAAAAAGTACCTATTATTTCAACAAAATTTTTTTCTTAAAGGGAAGGCTACATTAGTAAAGGACAATTTTGATAAGCCTCGTGTTGTTCTGAGATGTTGTTCTATTGAAACAAATTTTGGAAATGATTTGAAGTCAAGACCTTTCAAATATGACATTTCAAATCATTTAGTTGTTAACGAATTTAATTGAAAATTTGTTTTTTTATTTACTTATTAAAATTAACGAAAACTGACTTAAGTGAACACAGTTATGACCAGTGCTTCGAAATTTCAAATTTGCTCGTACTCGTACTTCGTACCACCTCTTTTTTTGGCCTCGTACTCGTACCTCGTACCACCCTTATTTTTTTGCTCGTACTCGTACCTCGTACCACCCCTATTTTAGGCCTCGTACCTCGTACTCGTACCTCGTACTTAC